TCATTCTTAAATATACTCCTTACTTATTTAAGGCCTTTTTGAAGTCTTCGGGTGTCTCTCTGACAGCTATAACAAAACCAGAATCATGAATACTTTATTTTAACAAGTAACTCTGCATTATTACAGATTAAATGTAAGATGTGTACCTGTCCTTGATTCTTGCATGGCTCTGGCCTTCTTAAAGCCAACTATAATGGAAAAGTAAAGTGAAACGAATGTAATTTATCGTTAAAATGTGATTTGATGCAATATATAATGGAAAAAGAGCAACAAAGTAACTGACCCTCAATAACATTGAGCGTAACCGTAACAAACGCTGTTCCATATTCATTTCTGGCACAACACTTGTAGGTGTCAGCTAGGTCCGACGATACACCGGGCATCTAACAATCAATAAATGATGATCAGTATTTTCACATAAAGTATAAGGGCAGCTTATTCATCATTCCAATGTATTCATTGCTCTGCTAGTCTTCCTTACACTTGTAAGTTATATCACTAACATGTTCATGACATGCTCAGGGATCTCACCTGCAGTTGATATTCACCAGCTCCTTCGTCCACGACTTTGTACCTTTCTTCAGTAATTTCTCCATTATTTCTCATCCATGTCACAGTTGGTGTTGGGGTGCCCACAACAATTGCTCTGAAGAATGCCAATTTTCCTATAGAGATGGCAACAAGAAATTAGCAATATGTTACCATTTTATACAGTACACAGTTCAGACCTGGCATTAAAGGGGCCCTATTATAGGGCTGCTCGATTATGGCAAAAATCATAATCTCGATTATTTGGGTCAATAATTGATATCACGATTATTAAAAACGATTATCCATTTACTTTGAAAACGTCAATTTATTGGAGAAAAATGTTGAACAGTATGTATTTAACAGTTGATTACCCTGAACTTTAAGTATAATTCAACTGAAAAACCAAAAAATAATAATGATAATTACAAAAAAATCGTTTTATTTCGATTATGTTGTTTTTGTAATCGTTGCAAGCCATAATCGTAATTGCGATTAAAATACGATTAATTGAGCAACCCTACCCTATTATGCTCGTTTTCAGGTTCCATATTTTTATTTTATGCCTCTACTGTGACATATTCACATGCTTTAATGTTCAAAAAGCCCTTCATTTTTGAGTGGGAGAGAAACTCCCTCTGGAAGGAACTTTGGGAATTCAGCCTTTGCAGACCATTTACATGCACACAAACCTACTGTATATAACACACTACATGGAATGAAAAACCCCCAAAAAGCATAAAGGGGCCCCTTTAACAAATTAGACACTCACAACTCTAAGTATGTCAGTTCACACCTGGCGATAGCAAGCGTCTTCACATACTGTACGTCTCAAGGGACCACTTGTAATCCTATATCACCTCCCTGAACTATATTAAAGAGAATTAGGAGTAACTGCTTGCTAAACGCCAACGATTAGCATTAACATTATCTTCGGTTTTCTGTGACATGAGCAGAGGAAGTGATCATTTTCAAGGCTTTAGCAGCACCATATGCAATCTAACACTGCAGATGCATATCGGACACTGTTCCACCATCTTATGAGCTGTGTGGATCGTGTCTATCAGTGAGCAACAGGAACACAAACACAGTTGATGCATCTAGGTACACAGAACCTTACCTTCTTGAATAGTTAGGGCAATGGGTTTCCGGGTGAAATCTGGGTTGGTCATGCCCTCAGGTAGTTCTTCCACATGCTGGGTGATCATAACTCCAGGCACCATTGACTTCACTTTTATTCTCACTGTCATAAAAAGATGCATTATTTACAAAGAATTAAGAGATTGTGAGTACAGCTTTGATTGAAGTTCATATCATGTTTTAAAAATAAATGTTCACATACTTTGTTGTTTGGCAGTTATTTGCATTCAATGACTACTTACCCTGCCCTGGAGCCGTCGGCTCCTCCTCCTTAGATCTACGTATTTTAAACATCTTGAATTTCACAACAGCTTCTCTGTCGATGCAAAAACAATTAAAAAATTGTTTTTAAAAACGATATTCTTAATAAGATAACACTTTTTCATTTGCTTTATATCTGGTCTTCACTTTGATGGTTTCTTGGGTTGTATAACAGGGTCTCCATGTCATTGCTGACACTTCCTAGAGTTTCAATGTAGTCTGAATCTGTTAGTACGGCTTGACCACATCAAATTCCCCATCTGTCTCCCATGCATTCAATCTCATCCAGATGTTCTGAATCTGTAATGGGTATCACTTATCATTGTTTAACTAGTTGCTTAAGGCAGTATGCTGGCTTTTACAACAAGATGCTGATGCATTTTAATTAAAGCCTTTCCTCTGAGAGACAGTAAAGATGTGGTGAGAAACAATTTATTTATCCATCTAATTAAACAAAAGTTTAGGGCCAGATGATGTTAGGGCGTGTGCTTGATAGTGCTACATCAGCGTTAAACTTTCCGTGAGTCCTATATCTTATATGGTGTGCGGATACCTGAGTTGGTAACTTTATCTGTGCTATTAATGAAAGGATTCCCGTGATCAAAACATACTTAACATTCTGTTTGTAGATTCCTGCAAGGGGGCTTGCTTAATTTTGCAGGCAGTAGCTCACATACCTCATCCATCATGACTAAGTAATTGACGCAAGTGGCTGACTGCAAATGTAATATTAGTCATAATCATCTTGGTATTAGATGATGCTTTCTTTATCACATTTATTTAAGGGAATTACTTAAATGACATAATCAAAAATGTCTTCCATGATTAAAAACTGACACCTTATTTGTCAATAAATCATCATGTTGTTCTGTGAATTTAACATTTTCCTTTTGATTATCTATTATCACTTTAATCATTTTAATCAATTTATAAATAATTTCCCCAAAAGTGTCGTATTAGTCATGTGACAGACTTCATAGCCAATATTTAGTATTGAATATACCTTAACATCAGCATAGCAATATGATGTCATACAAAATAGCATCATATTGTTTGGACTGACAAGAAGTTTAATTTCAAGTTTAAAGTTTAAGTTTAATTTAAATGTACTCTTAATTTCCTACAATCAAGATTTTACTTGGGAGGAAGGATTTTAATCAGATCAGATGATGAATATCCCTTATTTACATATTGTATTCGTATATATTAATACATCTTTAAATCTCATTATAGTAATGACATCAGTCTTTTGTTCTTGAATCATATTTATAGCCACTTTAACAATTAAAACTAATACAAAAAAAGAGTTGTAACTTGATGACGTCTTTTGCATATTGAGCAGTTTGTTACACTTGGTTCGCTGCTGGGAAACTATTTTTGTCTGGGAGAAAAAACAGCTGTGACAAGCGTGGAAACTGATTTATGAATAACCTGTCACATCCATGTCCTCAATCTCTGCATTTAGCTGCATTTAATGGCTGATCATAAACTTGTACTTTTTCTTATTTGGGAATTTTTTTTAATAAAATATCTCACAAAGCCTGGCAATGTGCAGCCAGTAACCCATTGATTGTTTCAGGAGAAAATACAAGACCAAATGTAGTATGATTACAAACACATATGTATGTTTCTATCGTTTGACTCTCAGTTACTGCTAGTCTAATTGTGATATTTCTCCAACATTTGCCTGTTGTATTATCCATCATCAAGCTTAGTAAATAATGGCCATCAAGAAAATGAAATATAAATAACATTAATATAGCTCATCATGTTGGTTCCTATATTTAGCATCACTGAAGTCAATTAAAATACTGTCAGCATTCAACACACATTTTGCTTTGCCTTTAAATAGTGTTATCTAATTACCAATTATAGTTACGGTTCATGATACAGATATATGCATACTAGTGTCCGATTAGCATATAAAATATACTTATTAGCATAAATTGGCAAATGTACAACATTAACAAATGTATAGAGCAATATTTTCATGAAATATCCAACGATATTAGTACATTTTCCAGTACCTGGTAAATGTACTTACTTTTTTCAAGTGAACTGCTGTGCTCTGCCGTCTGTTGCCGGCCACCTTCCAGCTGATTTTTGAGTGTGGGCTCGTAGGCAATAAAGTCTTCTACAGACACTGAGAGCAATCTAACCCACTGTGGCCCCCGGGTATAGGTTTACTCCTATGTACGTTGGCCCTAAGGTGCTATAGGTTCCTGAAAAGGGGGCCCTAGAGGAAATGCAGGGGTGAAGCTTTCTAATCCCTCCCTCAAAACTTCAGCAGGGGGCTTTTGGCTGCTCTTATTAAATAGGGACGTCTCATGAGAAGTGACATAGAAGTGCCATGGGTTGAGCTGCCTCTCAATCAGCCTGATTGCACATGTAGACTGCCAGTTCTTCATCACAACAATTAACTAAAGGGTAAGTGTCAATTCAATTTAAATGTTATAGCTCCTTGCATTAGTTTGTGTTAGACATGTTGGATATGTTATTTAAAATGTTTAGAAATATCAGAATTAGTGGGTCATAATTTCTTGGGGAGAAGTCTTGACACTGTTTCGGACACATCAGACGAAAAGCACAAAAACAAAACAGGCTGAACCGATTCTAATACCGATCAGCCTCAACTATTTTTAATGGATAATTTGACCGGAATAGAACAGCAAAAAAGTTACGTAGTAGTATATTTAAAATTGTAATGAACACCACACTTTGAAATCAAGAGGTGTCATCCTGCACTGTTCAGGCATGTTTTAGCCCAGGGTGCAACTCTTCTTCAGTAACTCTAAACTTGGGACGAATGTCTGACGTTCCAAAAAAAATATGCCCAGAGAGGTAATACAAGAAGACTGAACATAAATTATTCACATAAAGTTTCATGGAGGTGAAGTGGTATGCATTTTGATACTGCCATGTCAAGGCCCATGGCCACAAATATGCCAAGGTTCATCATCATATATATATACATTATTTCATCATCATTTTTTTCACGTAAATTTATTTTCTGTTAATTTTTTACACTTTTCTCAAAGTAACATGCATAATTAAAGAATTCCACTTCACAATACTGTACCATTATTTAATATTTATTTACACTAATCCCACATAATTGCATATGTATAACGGACTATAACACTCAATGTAAGATACATTTGTCGTATTTATCAGTATTCTTTGTCATTTCAGTTGTACTACAGGGGATTTTAAACCACAAATACGGAAAAATAACAAATCCAACCAGCTTTAGACAAACCACTTTTAAAAATCACGTCAAATAAGTGTCAAGTAGTGTTCTGTATTGAACTCCCTCTTCCACTTGCATATTACCTCCGTTAAAATGTCAGATTGCACACTAGTTTTTCAAGCACCCACTTTATTGAGATTGTACATTTGAAATCAAAACAAACAAAACACGTTTCTGGCTTTTATTTTAGCAAAATGCCTATGCCTAACACCTTATTGTAAGTTTACCTTTAATCATGTGCCAGAATGTATACAAATTTGTCAAATAGTTGATATAATTATATAATAATTATATGATATAATCACAAGCAATATTAAATTACAATTCATTCTACGTGTGAAAGGCTTGCCTTAATCTAAAGATGTAGTATGCTGATTATAAATACCATCTTGGTGTCTGTATGCGTTTAAAGCAATTTGACCGTCTTCTGTGTGTTCATTTAGTCTGGAAAAGAGACAAAGGAAGTTATTTGTTTCAGATTTCAAAGATCATCACTTGCATACAGAACATAGGGATGTTCAAAATAAAGTTAAAATTACCTCTGACGGTGAGTTTAGTGGAGCACTCTGCCCTCCCCAAAGAGTTTTCTGCAGCGATCTTGTACTCCCCGGTGTCTTTGGGTCCAACCCTCAATATGAGCAGAGAACAGACTCCGCAGGTGTTGGAGATGAAGTAGTTAGTGTTGGTATTCAGACTGATATTGTTGCGGAGCCATGTCACATGAGGTGTAGGATCCCCTTTTATAGCACAGCTCATGTAGCATTCATAGCCTTGAGGGGCACTGTGCATTTTCAGTGGGACAAGGAACTTGGGCGCACACTGTAGGTCACATGTCTTGGTTTCTGGCATGTTCACAACGAACTTTTCTGGAAGGAAGTAGATGTGCATTGACTTACATTAGAATTATTCTCTTCTAGAAAGAAAACATGTGGGATTATAAAGTAACAGGAACAGTCATTTATGGCCTTATATACTTTCCTATGCATATGTTTTTTCTGGTGTACTAAATGTCATCCACATGGTATTGTGAATCCGAATTCTATGGATAGCTATGAAAAATGAATCTCAAAGAAAGAACATTTTGTTTGATGATCGGATCAAATCAAGTTAAAGGCCAGACTTTTTGCTGTTAACTTGACACAAGGGGGAGGAAATGTAAAACTCATAATCAAAGAGGTACATTGTTAGGTTGACAATGTGGCTCTTTAAAAATGTAAGGACTGTTGAATAAGTCAATTTGTGAACTGGCCTCTAATCGGATTACAAAAACACCAAAATAAAAATGCTTCTAACTTTTAAGAGTAAACATGGTTAATATGTAAGTGCTGCATTTTCTTAAGCCCATGTCAAATATGCAGATATTGGTGTATTTCTAGATGGTCCAGAAAGTTATGAGCTTTTATACATACCTTTTTTGGCAGAAATCAGCCACTTCTGTGATTCAATGGGATTGGAGGAGCCCATGTCGTTCTTTGCATAGACTCTGAACTGGTATTCTCGGCCCGGCATGATGTTGCAGACTGTGAATCTATTGTTGAAGATGCGATCTGCAATAGTATTCCATGTTCTTTTACTTGAATCGCGCTTCGTCACCATATAGTGCAGCCTGTCGTCACGTTTCTCATCAGGAGACGCAGTCCATGAAACGGTCACTGTGCCAGGCACGTTCTCGTCAGTCTCCACGGGACCCGGTGGCTTCGGTTCGTCTGTAGTTCAAATACAAAGGCTTGTTTCATCCACAGTATAGGAAATTATTTATAGAGTTAAAATGAAAAGTAGTTAACCAAACTCACCTGTAACTCTAATTTCAATGCTGTTGGATTCTTGTCCGACAACGTTCTTGATAATGATAGTATAGATTCCAGTATCTGAGCGCTCAGCAGAAGGTATCAGAAGCTGGGATGTTACCTCTGCATTGCTGATGGTCACCTTTTTACTAACAGGTGCTCCATCTTTCAGCCAGGTCACCTCAGGCCAAGGAGAGGCCTTCAAATAATAATAATAATATATAAATATATGTATAATAACATTTCCAGAGGACATGAATTGATTACTTTATAAGTCAATTCATTATTTCCTATATTACCTCAAAGTTAATGTTGAATCTTGCAGAATTTCCTGCTCGCACCACCATGAAACTCTTGATTTTGGCATCAGTAAATCGTGGTCTCACTACATGAAAAGCAGGGAAAAGTTGGTCATTAATTGGCATATATTTTTATGGTGACAATTGTTTTTAAGGATAAAGGGCAAACATGAAAAAACATATAATCACTATCCAACCACCGCTAAAACAGAACAAAAATATGTCTTTCTTTAAGTCATAGTACAATATTCAATACTGCTTCAATCATCTTTATTCTTCTATTGACCTGGAATAGGATTTATTACTAATCTAATTATAGCCCCAGTACCATATTTCAACAATACTGACTAACCAACTGAACTTATTGATATAAGTTTTCATGTGCACACTATGTTGGTAGTTATAAAATGACATGGTATGTTTTTGCAACAGTATATCTGAATTCGTAAACCATGTTTTCAGTTGCATTACTTGTAGATGAAGAAGCAAATTAGATCTCTTAGTGTTAAACACATATGGGTCCATCCACAATTTATAATTGCATTTATCTTAATTCTTCAAACAATGCTCCTATTCTCCTATAAAGGCAAATCCTAAATGGTTTTGTGGGGTAGCATTTCATCTGTTCAGGTGAACTTAAATCTTCTTTTTTTTAATTTTTTTTTTATTTTGCCTTCCAACATCTACATATTTAATCATGAAGTTAAACTCAACTATTATACAACTGCTGCATCTTTTAATATAAAGTAATGAATCAGTCCCTGTAATTTAAATCTTTAAATATGACAGTTTGACATGAGTGTCTTTGAAATGATTTTCTTACCAGGAGGGGGCATAGCGAGGATGTAATTAACCAGCTCCTGTGGATCTCCCTCTCCTCCATCATTAGTAGCAATGACTCTCACCCAGTACATGGCCATTGACTTCAAACCTTTCACTGTATAGGAGGTCATGGTTAATGCATTTGCATTGCAGCGATCCCATTCTGTGCATTCTGCAGGCCGGATCTCCACAAAATATCCTTTGGCGTCATCTTCAACCCCCTCAATGTCCTTGGGTTTGGTCCAAGACAGGGACAGGGTTGTGTAGGTGGAATCTGTCGCTTTAAAGTCTATGGCTTTACCAGGAGGCTCTGTAACACATGATTCATATTCAGTGCTGCAATTTGTAGGCTGTATTTAGTGTTGATGAAAGAATGACTGTGATAACAGTTCTAAATGTCCACCTACTTTTAGGATCTCTGGCAAACACAAACTCAGATGGTACACTGAATTCACCCGCTCCAGAGTCGTTGATGGCTGCCGCGCGGAATTCATACTCAATTCCCTCAACCACGTCTTTAACTCCATATCCCTTACCTGTAAAAGTCAAAAATACATATGCAGTAAAGGTATAACACCAATAAGTCATTAGACGTCAGTTGTTTGTGTTGTCACAACATGATCAAAGAGAACTGATGTATGAATGACCTTTGATAATTCCTTCAGCTGGGACGACTGGGCCCCACAGGTTGCTGCCCTTTTTGCGTTTCTCAAGGTTGTATCCGTGAATACTGGTTCCTCCAGTGTTGGATGGAGGAACCAAAGAGAGATTGATGCAGTCCTTGAAGGCAGATACAACCTTTGGTGCAGATGGAGGACCAGGGTATGCTGTACACACAAAAGAGATCTAAAAGTCATTTTTATATAAAAAACGCAACAACCAATTGTTTGCATACTGTAGGAGAATTTATCGTGACGTCAACGACTCGTCATACCTGAAAGTGTCACAGAAATGCATGAATTAATTAATTAAATATGAGAAGGGTGATGCTTAGATATTTAAGGACTACTCACAGCTATTTGATCAACTACCGTAGCAGGGGAGATCACTGCTAACTGCTAGCAAGCCCTAACATGCTATCGCTATGCGGTAACAATGCCCCTTTTGACTTAATTTGGTTTTCTCAATATTCTTGCTTTCCCCTTTTTGATTTTGTTCTCATTGTACATTATTGTATTTATTGAACAGTTGCTTACAGGACAATAAGTTCACATAGTTTAAATCAAGAGATGTATTGGTAGTAATGACTACTGTCTTATAAGAGTCCTCTTATGTTTAGCAATATATACTTAGGCAAATCTAAAATGGAAATCTAAAAAAGTCTCTAGTAAACCATTCTATTCAACATTCAAGATCAACTCTAATAAAAATTATTTTTGATCAATTGTTCACCAAACTTGATTCAACACATTTGTACAAATGTACTTTCTCCCCCAAGTGACTCCGAACATTGTAAATCGATTGATTTATCAAATTAATTTTGCTGTGAAATGATGAGTCTGACTGGCCTTTACTAAAAACTGAAATTTTTTCAGTTAGTGGTTTGTCGAAGTTTACCTTTTGTTCCAGCTTGAATATCCTCAGTTTCCATTAGCTCACTGGTGCCCATTTCAGTCTCCACTCTGATGCGATAGCAGTACTTCCTGCCGTGGTCTACATCACTGTCCCGGTATGCGCTCTCTGGACCAATCGGACCCACCTTCTTCCAAGTGTTGCGGCCAATTTGTTGTCGTTCAAGGATATAGTTGTCTATTTTACAGCCACCACTGTCTTTTGGGGCCCTCCACTTGAAGTCAATTACAGAGGAGGAGGCTTCAACAATATCCAGAGGTCCCATTGGAGGAGTGGGTTTATCTGCCAGGAAACAGAGCATAATGATGAATTGTATTCTGTGTTAGAGAGTTAATTTGTCGACCAATTACAGTGAATGAACATTGAAAATAAGTAACATAACATATGTATACAACATACCCAGGACAATAAGCTTGCTGAAGGCCTCAACAGTGCCAAACTCATTTTTGAGTTTTATCTTGACTTCACCACTGTCCTTGCGCTGCAGCTTGTTTAGAATCAGACTACTGCAACCCTCCGAGTGCTCAATCTTAATATGTCCTTCCTCTGCAAGCTCTTCACCCTCAAGGTACCACTGAATCTTTAGAGGTTCCCGTCCGATATAGGGTAGTTTGAAGGTTGCTCTATGTCCTTTTTTCACAGTTACAGGGGTTTTGAATGCTTCCAGATCCTCGGCAGGGAATCTGGGTGGGTCTATAAAGGGGTAAAAAAATATAGACGGATATATTAGTAGTTTTAAGCTTTATAGTTCTGTACTTTAGAGAAAAACATTTTAAAGTAATTTTTAAGGAGAAATGCAACGCTTTCATGCAAATTAGTCATTTCTGTAATTTTTTTATATTTTTACCTTCAACAACAATTAAAGACTCTGTCTTCCGTCCGTCTGCTTCAAATTTATATTTCCCAGCAAATTCCTCTGTGACTTTGTGGATTTTAAGTCTGTGGAAAGTTCCGTCTTTTGTAATGGTTATACCCTCAGACGATTGAATCTGTCAAAATGAAATGCAAAGCTGTAACATGACAAATATGAATTAAATGTATAACTTCTAATTCGTATTTGGCTTTATTAATGTAATAATATCAAAGCCTATCTGCTACACATTTAGACCCTGGGCATACCTCATCTCCATCTTTGTACCAGAGTCCCACACAGTCTTCCCTGCTCACTTTACACTCCAGCTCTGCTGCTTCTCCAACAATGGCTTTGCAGTCGGAAAGCCCCGCATGAAAGTGAACTCCTGGGTCTGAGGATTCATCAACCAGTAAGTTAGTGAATGCACACGACCAACACGTTGTTGTTTTGTTGTTTCAAAGTGTTGAAAGGCATCCATGTATGGTTGTGAACATACTTACCACATAGTCAAACATGACACATTTTCTTTTCTATTAAGATTTGTTTCGTTTTTTTGCCTTTATTGATAGTATGCCAAATAAAGACAGGAAAGGAGAGAAAGGGGGGATTGTGGGTCAGATGTGAATCTGAGCTGCTGCTGAGGCCTTAGGGCTGTATTTAAAATACATGTTAAAATATACCTTTAAATTATGAAAAGACTAAATAAGAGGAGTTTGTAAGGGATGTAGAAGAGCACATTTGGTCATTGTTTGAAACTTGATAAAGATGTCTTCTTTTGTAGCTCGATAGTTTTGCTTGCAGGTGGACTTCTTCAACTTCAGAGTTTGCAGATTTGTAGCTCATACGAATAGCATCACTGAGGCTTTCATGTACCTCGGTTCGCTTTGTTACTCTTGAAAGAAATACCCACTTAAATATGAAAAATAAAAAATCTCACTCAAGGCAGACATTTCCTTGTTCAGTCGAAGAAATTAGCATTTCGTCTTCAGTCTTCAATGTGCAGAAATCACTTTTAGAGCATGGTCATCCTCCAAATTCAGGGTTCTCTTCTGTCTTCACATATGAGTGTGGCCACACACAAGTGCTGCAGTTGTCTCAAAAGGACATAATGAGTTCTGTGTTTGATCATTCAAATAATTAACCTCAATGCACTCACTCATCCTGAATCAGCATTTAAAATAGCAAGCACATGTTAACACAGAGCACAGGTGCAGTTAAACATTGCTTAATTGACACACCAAACAAACACACATAGCTATCATGAAAACAAAAGAAGAGAGAAAACGGTGGACACTGTTGTTTTTTGTCTGCTGCTATCCTACCTATACGTTATTTAAATAATATAACCAATGCTATTCTTTTCTAGACACAACATAAGACTATAGAGTGTTTTGATTCCTTCGACATATTAAGTGCAATAGACAAAAACCATTAGTCCATAAAAAAAATGATTAGCATTTCTTGAAAACACTAAGGTTAAATCCACTCTTGCTGAAATCTGATCATTCTAAAAGGCATTTTAAGCCTTTAGAGATCAAAAGTAGCATTTCACTGAGTGGGAGTGGGAGCACACTTTTGGCGTTAACCGTCAAACCACTGGAAAAGTCATCTGCTCAGCAAATGACTGTTTTCAGACAGTGCTTCCCATGCAGCGGTTAATGCAGCGCCAGTAATCTTACCACTAACTGTCTCCACGATCAATGGGCCTTGCCGCGTACGGCCTGATCGCCTGCCAGCTGCTGCAGGCTCACCGCCGTCTGCCCCCTCACCATTTTCAGCAGATTCATCAATGCCTTGCGTTGGCCTGGTGCCATTATCACCCCTGGCACCACTGGCTTCTGTGTTAGTGTCTTTTTCAGTTTAGGGGATATCATCGTAATTACCATCAATCCATTGATTCTCTTTTGCTGTTGGATTTGTCTTACAAATACCATTAATGAAAAGAGTAACCAATACAACTGTCAACATGGAACATAAAAACAATATCAACATTAACTCTAATACAAGAGAAGAGGGCAATGGAAAAGGTGATATCTAAAATTGGCTATAGGGTGTATTAACACAAGGGCCTACTGGAAACCTTTTTGCTGAATGTTTAGCCCTTATAACATCAAACTATAATATTTAAGCACAAGGGGTTATCCCAGTGCTGATTTGAAGCAGTCTAAACTAAATAGCGTATATCAAGTTAATTCACCGTTTCCATTTTTTACCCTCTAACATCTTGCGCATTAATTAAACAAAGTATTTATAACAACAGAAAGCACCTACAAACATAAAAGCACACACTGAATACACAAATCACAAATATAGAAATATCTGTAGACTTCAGAAAAAAGGCTTGGATTGAAGAGAATGCAGATTTTAGCGTAGCATCTACATGCTATTCTATTATCTGTTTCTCAAGAGAAGCGCAAAGACACACATATGACGATATAGACATATCGCTTTTTCTTTGATAAACCAATTTTTGTTTTCTAAATTAAGCTGATAGTTAATAAAACTTAAAGCCAATGCTTTTAATTGTTTATGGACTGTAAACCATGTGAGTATTAAAAATGTCTGGCTCACGTAATAATTAAACTGCAGTATATGTTTTATGTGGAACAGCATTTATTTTTAAGAATACAAAAACCTCTGGTCCCGGGCTTAATTATTTTAGTAACTAAATAAATAAACTCCCTTTTTTTTTTAAAGAGTTGTTCGAAATTCACCCAGGCCATGTAGATTTTCCAGCTAATTGTAAGATCGGCAATAGTGTATATAAGTATAATATACAGTACATAACATGTTAAAGCAGTTGCATCACAGAAAGGAAAGGTTTAGAATTTCCTTGGGTTGTGATATCAAAGTCATTTTGATTTCCAAATGACTTTAGCGGCAGTAGGTAAGTTGTCTACAGCAGCATGCAGCTTTGACGTCTCTTACCAACGACAGCTTCTGCTTCAACATCCACAATTTTCTTTCTGGGACGTTTTCCTTTTTTCCCAGATGTTTCACCTTGTTGATCTGTTGTTTCCTCATCATTACTATCTCCTAATAGTGATAATAATTTGCAGCTTTATTCCGAAAGTCATACATATTATCATTATATTAATGTTGACCTAATGATGAGTTGACTCATTAAGTCAACATGTATAATGTGATATACATACTGGGATTCACTCTGCATGAACATCATCTGGTCCTTTTATTTTTAAACCTTAGTTAGAAAGTTTCCATAACAATAATATATAATTATGATTATTTTTGTTTTTTAAGATATTGATTAAATATTAATTTAAGAATTAATATTTTTCTACAGTAAAATAAATCCATCAACAAAACACAAATACGTTCTACTGCTGCTACTATTTATATTATATTATTGTTGACAATTTTAAAGATATATTCGTTTTTTCTAAAAAGATGCATTGCATTAAAATGTTTAGCATTTAGCAAAAAATGTCGGGCACATTTCCGAAGCAATTATTTATCATTAAGTTTCTCAATGAATATAATATGAATGATCTGCTTACCTATCTCTGTATCTGCAACGAGTGGACCATCTCTGACGCGTTTCTTGCGTCTTCCTTTTCCACCTTGTTCCCCTCCTTCTCCTCCTTCTCCTCCTTCTCCTCCTTCTACTCCCTCTCCACCTCCTGCTCCATGTCCCACTTTACCGCCCACTCCTCCTCCCGCTCCTCCGCCAGCTCCTCCCTCCACTCCTTCTCCGTCTTCCTCCATTTCTTCATCAGAATATTGAAGTGAATCGTAGTCATCTTCATCGGGATGACTACGAGCACCTTGGCCCCCATCAGTCCCATCAGCCCCAACACCTCCAGCAACCCCAGCAGCTCCTGCACCCCCCGCCCCACCAGCGGCTCCTGCACCCCCCGCCCCACCAGCGGCTCCTGCACCCACCGCCCCACCAGCGGCTCCAGCACCCCCCGCCCCACCAGCGGCTCCAGCACCCCCTGCACCACCAGCTCTCCTTGAAGCCATTTCCTTTGCCTTTTTTGCCTTGGCTGCGGCCCTAGCTGCAGCCTTTCTTTCAGTTGCTGCCTTTTTGGCTTCTTCAGCCTCGACTGTGACGGCTGCATCTGCAACTTCTCTCTCAGCTTGGGCTATCTTGGCCAATTCCATGTTTTCTTCCATTTCCTTCTGGTATTTTTCCTGCTGTTCCTTAGCTATTTTGATCAGATCTTCATCATTATTGTCTCCAGCCATGGTAGTCTTGCGAGTTCCTTTCTTGCCCTTGTTTGAGGGATCCTTGTCCGCTATAAAAGACAATATGATTTTTTTATATTTGTTTAGCTGCACAATGAAATTAGAATTGAAAAATTATTTAGTGTCTGTAGTATCCTCCAGATGTTCCAAACAGTATGCATGCATACAACTAGATTTCCGACTCATAAGAGGAGCAGGATCAAAATGTAAGAAGATAATCACTGTCTCACCTTCAACTACAAGAAAGGCATTGCAGGATTTGATTCCTGCCACAGCAGCATAGATGCCTCCGTCCAATTGCAAACAGTCTCTCACGATCAACTTGTGGATGAGCTTATCTTCGGATACAGTGATTTCAAATTTCTCACTATGTGTCAGCGGAGCGCTTCTGCCGTACCATTTGATCTCATTCAAAGGTGCAGTGAGGACACATTGAAAGATGGCGTCCTCTCGCTCTTCTGCCTTGACCTCTTTGATTTTGACAGCAAAGTCGACTTCAGGCACTGCAGGATAACAAAATACACAAAATAGAATAAGGGCGCAAGGAGACTTATTTCAGCAATCTATCCCATCCACACAGGGTCACTGGTGACTCATACAATATCTCATTGTGTACTTTTATTATAGTTAAAGAAAAGATGTAGACAGTAACAGCACATCAGTAATCCATGGACTGAGTTTACCTATGACTAATCTGATTTGAATAACTTGATTGAAGACATACCTTTAAATTCAGTTGAGAATACATTGCAACCCCCAACATCCACTGAGTAGAGTCCGGCGTCTCCTGAGCCTAGATTCTTAATTGTGAATACATATTTCTTGCCAATTCTTTTCAGGCTATGCTTCAGGGCCTCACTGTCTTCTTTGGTGAATGGGATCATGACGCCATCCTGCAGAATGAATAGGCATGTAACCATATTGATAATAGATAATAACATGTAGCAAGATGGTGCTGGAGGTAGTAGTTAACGCCACCTTGTACAGGAAGATTTTGCTACAAGGATCCTTGAGGTCCATGTCCAACTCAATTGTTGCACAGTCGTCATCTTGGACTTCAATAGGTTTCAGGGTACTGATGTGTGAAACAAACTACAGCAGAAAGAGTGAAACAAATGTAATGAGTCTGCACAGATATTGTAAGAAATACTGCAACATTTAACAAATTATACAAAAACAACAAATGACAAGGATAGATGTTGTTTTGGACATTCCTACGATTGAACTAAAGAAGATTTCAAAGGAGCCCATACCTCAGCAATCTCCTCCTCCTCTCTCCTTCTTCATCTCAGTGAGTTTCTTCAACATGCGGCGGAAGTCTGTGATACCGTACTCATTGCAGATGCGCTCGTAGTCTTTCTTCTCTGCGCTCATGAGAATTTCCCAGACCCTCTCCTCTGGCTCCATCTGCTTTTGCTCACGTGTTCCATCGTCATTACTGTAGAGGCAGAAATGTCATCAAGCCGCGCAAACATGTTTTCACTGAAATAAATACTCTCATTCTGTCAATGAGAAGGAATCCCACACATAAAGAAAATACCATCATAAAGATAATACAAGAAACAAACTTTGTTTACAGAGTTTCACTCACCGTTTTTTAAGCTTTTTCCTGAGATCCGTTGCCTCTGTAACCACAACAAAGAAGATTAGACTTTCTCAAAATATATTTGTCATGCATTGTCTTTTACACAAGTATTTAAAACAAGCAATGTACATTTACTGTAACTTCCATAACAATGTAATGTACATAGAATAGTTTGATTAAAGCTAGATATGAATGTTTTTCTTTTAAAAACAAAAACAAGTATTTTCAGCTTAATGACTAATAGGTCAGAATGTCTGATCTTATCTTATTGGAACTGTACTGAGTATTTCTTTAAGCCGACATAAAATCATGCCTTATATAATTATCTGAATCATCAATCATATAGCCATTTACTTACCATTGCTAAGTCAAGACTCTGATAACTGACCTGAACTTTGGGGTCCCCAAAGGTAGTATGGGCAAAAAGTACATTAATAAAAATGTCTCTAACCAACCAGCTTTGTGTATCTCAGTGACAATTCCCTCTCTTCCACCTTAAATCTGCCAAAATGTGTTTTACTTTTTTTGTAATTCTAAAACTCTACTGCTCTTTTTGCAAGAATCCAAGTCAGTAAATGTACATCCCCAGTTACTCTATCCTCTATTGTTTGTTAGATTTGCTCTGACACCCTATTCTTAAAGAGCGTTGTGTTGGACTTATACTGCTCAACATGATTCTGTTTGCGATCTTTACGTTTTCACTACCCTGACAGGAAGATTTTTCCCAATAATTTAAATTAATGAATACAATGTCATGTCGCTTTGAAAATACATGGGCTAGGTTATAGCACAGAAAAACCATTCTGCTGCTTCATTCCAAATATTGATGGCTTAGATGAAAGCCATTAACTTCTATGTATCTTTGTAACTCAGCTGGATGCCCAGTTCCCTAAAAAGTGTCTGTGATAAATTGTTTTTTAATGTATTTAATCGTTCATTAATTTGTCTCCTATTAGTCTGACTAGGGCAGGGAAAGTGTATATAAGCTCTCTTTGTTATGGTGAATTGGCCCATATTGGAAAGCCTTGACCTTAAAGCCAACAAACTATAACTGCCTTCTGGGAAAATAACTGCAATCCTCTTCAGAAAAGAAAACTTTGAATGTTCTGTATTTGAAACCTCACCTTCACCTTCTTTCTTTTGGAGTTCCTTGGTTTTAGAGAATCCAACTGTAAATAAAAAAATATTTTAGAACTGCCAACTTATCAAGAGTATGTATATTGCAACGTATGTATAAAATACTAAAGCGACAAAAGGATTAAAGAATATTAAGAAATATATACCAGAAATGATATTCAGGAGAACAGTGCAGATAGCCCTTCCATGTTCGTTGTTTGCAAAACACTTGTAGGTGTCTGCATCCTCTGAAGCGACCTTAGGAAACTAATTAAAGGATAACACTCAGATTATGGCACCTTCTTTATCACTGAAAGTAGTTTAAGTCTTAAAACACTTAACATATTGGGCTGATAAAACATTTATCCTATTGCCTACTATTGAATGACAGACGATGGACAAATTCATGCATGTGTTTCCTGTTTGGCTGCGTTTTACAATCAACTTTGTACAAATGGGCATGCTTTTTGGGCTTATTAACACACATGCTCTGTGTTTGAAATTGGAGATTAAATTATTTTCTCAGTATGAGGTAAATTATCACAATATCAGATTATAAGAGAGCGTTTCTCTCTTTTAACACAGTTTACTGTTGATGTTTATTCATTGTCTGCAACAGAAATGTAACAACGCTTCCTGTTGTGGCCGACAATGGGTACATTTTGTTTATCGCCAACATAATGAATCCATGCCTTTAGGGTTTCTTGAAGATTACCTCGAGTGTATGCTCTTGAGTTGTCTCATCGTACTTTTGCACACACAAGTCAGGGTGGAAAACGATTTCCTTGTTGGCTCTGCTCCATGTTACAGTAGGTGTTGGGGTGCCCACTATTATGGCTTTAAAGATTGCAACCTTATCTGGAATTAGATCAAATAAAGATTTCTCTATTAGAGACAAATCATTCATAGGTACATTTTTAGCAAAGATGTAAGATAAATGGTTAAATGCAAATAATTGAACAAACATTATATTTAAGTTTTTCCCGTTTGATACATTTGGTTAAGAGGCTGTTTAAAGGGGCACTATTATGCTCATTTTTAGTTTCATATTATTTTGTGCTTCTACTGTGACATTATCATTTCCTTTTACATGCACAAAAACCTATGCAACACATACTGTAGGGGAAGGGGATCCCCCCAAAAAACATAACAGGGCCCCTTTAATAATTAAAAATATCCCATTGTTGAATTGCAACTTACTTTCCAAATACATGTTTTTTTAACCTTTTGTTACATCTTTCAAATTGTTATGACTGGATATGCTCAGCTGCTCTTTTTTATTGAATGTACCCTTAAAGGTAGGGTATGTAAGTTGGAGAAACCAGCTCGAGTGCGCTAGAATTTGAAAATACACGACCGGAGAAAATCTGCCACTTCCTTACAGAGCCCCTCCTCCAACACACACGAACGCGCACATGACCAATGAGGGCACAAGATTAGTTTGTGCACAGATGGAAGGCTGACAGGCAGGTAGGCCATCCAGTTATTTTAGCCGGGCCGGCTCAGATGATTGGTCGTGCTTTTTACAGCGCCACGGCTTCCACAGATGACATTTTTGTATGGATTTTTTGTCAAAGCACTTAAGATATTCATTGCTATCGGGATGTTAAGAGCATTCCATGGAATATAACAAAAAGTGTATCTCGAGCCGGTTTCTCAAACTTACCTACCCCACCTTTAATAATTCCACAGAGGGGAAATTGACATTCTGCATTTGACCCATCCTAGTCTTAGGAGCAGTGGGCTGCTATTATGTATGGCGCCCAGGGACCAATGCCTTGCTCAGGGAAACCTCGGTAGCACTTGGTCTTTCGGGGACTTGAACCGGTGACCTTCCGGTTCCCAATCCAAGTCCCTATGGAAACCAAAACCGCCCCCTCTTCCTCTTAAATGTTGCTTATGCCAATTGGGATTTAGATCAAGGTATTTTTAGCTGGCCAACACATGTGTGTTCAACTATTTTGATGTGAGAACAAAAACTGTATATTTTTATTTTATTTTATTTAAATGGTTTGGGTGAAGGTTACTATTGTAGACTTACTCTCTTGAATAGTCAAAGCAATAGGGTTTGCGAGTAAAATCTGGAGTTGTCATTCCCTCCGGAAGTTCCTCCTGGAACTGTGTTATCATGACACCGGGCACCTTCGACTTCTTCTTAATGCCTGATCGAAAAAATAGAAATAATTAGATAAGCTTATTAAAAAAAGAAACAAGTTATTAAGTATAGTCTATACAATATACTCATCAAAGCATGAACATTTAACCTATGTACACATTGTTTTACTTGAAAAAGTACAGTATGTGTGAAGAATAAATACATTTTATAAGAAAGACTCACTAAGAATGTGTTCAGATTTAGACAAGGACAAACAAAAAGTGGTTTAGTGTAAACTTCACACAAACATTCAAACAGGTTTTTATCTGAAAAAATCATCATGTTTAAATATAAAAATGCCTCACTAATTAATAAAATCTCTAAAGACTTATATTGCTAAAATAAAACAAAATAAATCTATCCAGTAGTTTTGTGATTATTTACATCAGCCTCTACTTTTGAAATATTACCAGACAGTCAAGCATTTATGAATAAACCAAGTAAATAGGTTCTATCTGGCATAACCCTCGCTGCTACCTTAAATATGCCAATGTTTTTCATAGTTGTATTGTGTTCAGATTTAGCTAAAAATGAAGATGCCAAGTGATTTAAACGACTTAATACTGAAGGGAATATGTTTTACTTATGCAAAACTTCATTGTTTAATCAACTTTGTAAAAGACGGCTTTTTTAATCTTAACGTTCTTTGGTCTTTCCCTTCTCATGGGACTCTTGACATTATTAATGAGTGTTACATATTTTCATATTAAAACATACCCTTGCCATAGACATACTTGTTTATATCATGTTAAAAAAGTGAGGGAAACCTTTGTGTTAATGTTAGTTTTATTATGGGAGATTTTATATTTGACTTTAATTTCTTTGTGGATTAATTTTACTTTTCAGATGAATTGGAAAAAACGTAGAGTATTTAGACTTTATAGCCTTTGGATAATGCTGAATAAAAATAATTAACAAAGATTTTAATAATTGTTTTAAGCCTCAAAAAGAACATGGCCACCTCAGAGAAGTAGACATGTCACAATTTAATATAGAGTTGCCTTGCAGGAGGTTGAATTGATAATAATAAATATTCACTTTCCTGGTAACATTGAGATGTTTATTTGTATAGGATTATTCTTTTAATCATTTATGTCAACAACAAAGGATGAAATTGAAAGAAATGTGTTGTTTAAAGTCATGTAGGGTTGACATCTGTAATAAATATATCCCCCTATGTATATGTTATGATGACCAAACTCATATTATTCTTTGTTGGGGAACAAGGTCAACCCTTCTGCTGTCTCTAGAGGTCCATGGAGTACAAATGATTAGTTCATATAAGCTCACTTGCACAGAATATCCATTGAAAACTCTAGAGTTAGGCATTGAACCAGGTTTAAGTGCCAGAACACCTGAGGGAACCAATATGGACTAACCCATAGAAGTCTCGAAGGCGTCATCATTGAACGCTGATCACAGGGGTTCAGCTGGTCCAGGGATTTTTATTTATTTTCTCCTGGAATGAAAGACCTGTAATAGGCAGAGTGTAAACTATAGAGTATGTCGTTTAAAGATGGAGAAATGAACATTGCATTAGTTGCGTTGGGGGTAAGTGCTTGAGGCATGAGCTGCAGAACAGTGTCTTCTGTATCAGAAATGAAATCGAAGGATGATGCAGACATCATTAAAAGCAATGTGTTTGCATGGATCAGCCTATTAATGTAGAACAGCAACTTAACCCTCCTATTGTCTTCGTTCCCCCCCCCCCCCCCTTACTTTGGTGTTCGAGGTCAAGTTTGACCGGTCCTGTTTTAACTGCTATTATATTAACACAAACACCATTAATCATCACCAAATTTCATTTGAAACACCCTTTCAAACTGTAAACATTGTATCAGACTGGTATACATGAAAAACTGCAGTAAATATACAAAGAATAGACACTGAACATGTATTGCGTGTGCCAGGTGTGATCCATGTGAGGGGATGGGCACATACGAGTGGGAGATGGGTCATTGTTCTGTGTCTGTGTGTGTGTGTGTGTGTGTTTGTGTGTGCCAGGTGTGTTTCACATGGGGGGATTGGGCACATAAGGGGGGGCGGACACATAGAGTTTGTGTGTGTGTGGGTGTTTGTGTGTGTGTTGTATCTGATCCGGATGGTTACTAAGTCCTTTTCTTTATGGCGGTCATTTTTGACCGGGAACACCATGGGTGTTACAAAGTTGACTAAATCATCCGGAATTCAATGAAAGTGGTGATCAGCAATGATATATGTTCAAATGTCTACTGTGAAGGATATCATGAAGCCTTAATGCAATTGAATGTAAAACAAAAAAGTTATGATTGATGAAAGTAGTAAATCGGTCAGATTTGACCCGAAGACAACAGGAGGGTTAAGCTGCATTTTAAGCCAGGCATTGATTTCATGGGTCATCAAAAGTTATGTATGGAGTATAATTGGCATGAATTAAGTATGCGAACATTCATTAAGATAACACCTTTTCATCAGTTATACTCTGTCCATGATGAGATGTTGTGAATATATCTATATATGCATTTATTTTTACTTATATATATTTGTTGATATAGTTGATTAGATGTACATCCACAGACAGCACCGGACCCTTGACATTTTGATAGCTGTCAAATGGATGCGCATGGACGAAGACCTAAAGCTAAAAATGTTTTTATAGTCTGTCCTTGTCCGAATTGCTGGTGGCTGGAAAATAACTGAACTGCTCTTATCATCTTTCTACAAGACTGCAAGACATTTGAATAGCCTTGCTTTAATTTTGTATTCATTAATTTCCCCCAAAGTTTTTTTATTTTATTATTTTGCTTTGGCACTGGATATATGTATGCACTTTTTATTAATGGATAACCAGAATTCATGAGAATGCATCATTACACTATAGGAATTTGTTTATAAAGCCATGTTTGCAATTTTGCAGTTTTTGCGAATCTTGCAACTACTGAATGAAAGCAGTATAGAACGTTTTTTTAAAGTATCTCCCTAACTTTAAACTTAATTCATTAATATATTAGTTTACTGCACAATCATTTTTATAGAGTACATGTAGCTATAACATGCCTCACTAACTGATTCCTGAACGATGTGGACCACAAATCCTTGGTAGTTTTACTCAGAATATTAACTAATGTGCACGCAAAAACTTTCCACTTTGAACTTTTATTATTAGTTTTTCATGTAATTTAGCTTAAAGATTTTCCTAAGCAGCTGACTCGCCTACATGTTCCCGCTGTGGTTGTGCGATATTGTGTTTATTCTGATCAGTGCAGCTGTAGCTCCATTGTTGGCTGTTAGGACTTTGCATTTTTTCATCTAACTTGTAGCTGGAGTTCAGTAAATAATGATGAACTCTTTTTTAACTGCTGTTATTGACGTTAACTAAGAGCTTTCCTATTATATTTCACAGCTAGTAAACAAACGAAAATCGCCGTTATAATTGGATGCCCCATACATTGTGTACTTGTGTTTCCCCGACTTCCCTTAGACTTAGAGTAAGTCTCAAAGTAATGCAAGGAACCACAAGAAACTGAAAGTTGGGTGATGCTTTAGGGCTCCTGGAGGTAACAGGTGTCGTTCCAGTTGATTACCTTCGAGACCTCGATGTTCTGAGTTGACTTGACAGCATATGCTTTGAACCCTTTGGGTTATAGAAATTGCATTTCTGTGTCTGCGATAGTTCTGTTCGTCACACTGAAGCCAAGGAGAGCATGAGGGTCAGGCATGAAAAGGCCGAAAATCTCAAGGGAAAGGGGGACTTGAAAGGGGCGACTCAGGTTGCCTCGGTGTTCTTTGTATGAAATGTCTCAAATGTTTCAGCTATAGTCTTTTTACTCATACCAAAGGCTTGTTCTTTGTTGGTCAATATTGATCTAAATTGGCAAGTTCATTATGTTTAACCTTAAAAATGTCTTTTTGTAAGGTTATTATAACTAATATGTTTAGTTAGACCTCAGGAGAGAGGACATTATGCCACTTTGTCCCTGTAGATGTACTTAATGACACTCAACTTAACATATGGAACAGAATTTTGTCAGCATGCGCACATTTAAAATTGGCATTTTCGTTTCAATTACAAGATCAAGAAGACACATAGAAATCAGCGACCGTGCCCTCTAGCAACAGCTTTAGTATTCAGATGGTTGTTGTTTAAATTGTCACAATGAAGTGCTTCCGTTGTGACACTGAAAGTTGAATCATCCATTTCAGATGACACCTTTCGGGGGTGATGAAGACCACATCATACATGCAACTCACCCAACGTGGAGTCATGCACTTACGGAGGTGAGTCGTTTGTGTGATTCGATTTGTTTTTGCTCGCATACCTTTGTCTTCTGGTTGAAATTCCTCTGAACGGTCGACTAAACACGCATTGTGACAACAGAAGAGGGACAGGTAAATGTAAATCCTGACAAAAGCACCATGGCAGTTGGAACTTCGACAGGATTATTACACAGTAAACATAAAACACCACATTATACAGTGTAACCCGGGGCTGGGAAGCACAAACACAGACACTTTAGGAAAAACATATTTTCAGGGACACATGGCACAACACACAATGGTTAGTTATAGACAAAGTAACAGGGTGTTAGCAGTAAGTTGTTACAGCAGCATATACAAAGCTGTGCTGTGCAGCTGTTTATTAGACTCAATTTGAAGCTCACATTCCTCACACAGCATGATTCCTGTGCAGTGCTTGAGAGAAATAATCACTTGGTGTTTTTTTTTAAGAATACCTTTCATTTTGTCAAACCAGGACTGTTGATGAATGTCTTTGTTAGAATCAGTTTTATTATTCGTATTGTGCTTGGATTTATTTTTGTCTTGTCTTTTTTTTGTCATGATGACATTCTTTGTTGCTCTTGTTCTGTGATGACAGCTTACTCGTGTCTCACTGCTGGAATCTGTGGAGCTTGAGTTGACTGACAGACATCTTCGGTATCAAATCCTTTATAAAGAGACGTTGATGAATGAGATGGCCAGAGCTGTATTCGTGTTCTGTTGAAAAGTGGCAGTTGTGTCGTCGTTACAAATCTTAAGAAAAAACATGAACAATACTTAGAAAGCTTCCACTTGACGAAAGAAAAAACAGAGGTGCTTATCTTCATTTTCTCTCAGAATGAATTGTCAGCCCTCAACTCTTTACAGCAGTTTCCAGATGTGTTCCACATCTTCCAAAACATTTTGAAGACCCCGACCTTTGACCTGTGCATTTCCCAGGCGTTTTCTTGTCTTGCAGGTTTTTTTCTTGAACGCAGTGTCTCGTTTTTTACATGATCCTGTTCATCATCATTCCTCGTGTTAAGAGGAAATCCAGCTGCAAAACAAACCCTAGACTGACGTAACCATGGAGAACATCCATCACCCTGCACTTACCTGCCTGCCCAGCGGCAGTTTGATCGGTCACCTTTGACCTCTTCCACATCTTGTCGTTGCTTTCGAGCTCTGCTGATTCAGAAGGGTCTGCAGCTAAACACACAGGAAGAGGAAATATTAGCACCGCATACATGTATAGCTAACAAAAGCAAATCAGTGATATTGACTGGCATTCCCCCTGAAATGTTTTAGTCTTTGTGATTTTTGTACTTTCAAAAACTTGCATTTACTTTTGAAAGAAAGTTTATTTAAATCATATGGTGGAAAATCTTCTTCTCTGAACAGCTCCTAGTGTACTCCCTAAAGCTCACTGCAGTTACTCCCAGCAGTCAGTAAGAGGCAGCAGCCAGTGTTGTATACAGTTGTTCACTGTTGACATCATTCTGGGACGAATGCCGATCTCAGGAATCCTTTGGAGCCATGTGTTAATTAAGTCGGAATTTGTTGAAGCCCTAAATAATCTGGGTGCAGAGTTAGGATTAGTTTGTAAGTACTGACACGCTACCACTGCTATAGCCTCTCAGTGCTGATTAATATTAGTTGATTTATTGTAAGACTGAAAAATATATGTACTTATTAACATTAAAAGCCATGTCTTAGTTAACCCCTTTCCAGGTTTAGGAAATGCTAAAATATGCAGCATGGAGACACCACCACACAAACAACTCTCCCTTCTTCTGATCACTGAACTATGTCACCTCATATATTACATCATTATTTTAAGAAAACACAGCTTTAGCACTGATTCTGAGCGGTAATTTGTCATCTCCTGCATTATTTTCCCAGTATATTTCTTTAAGGTTCCAAAAGAGTTTAATATGGAACAAACACCAGACGCATGTGTCACTTATGATGATCACTGACTCATGTGACATTAAATGAGTCACGTATCATCTGTTATGGTCGCTTGCATCACTTATGTCATTACTATTTTTTGTTCTTGTAACATTTGACCTAATGACTCAAGTTCAGAGGTCTAAACCTTCTTATTGGACATTGGAATAAAGTAGGTGTCGTTACATGTAAGCATTAAATATTATTGTTATTTTTTGTCTTGCAGCTGAACGAAGATTTTCAGGAAATGTTGACATGAGGAGGTGAGTCAAGATCTGATTTTAGTGCACAGTGTGAATAACTTTGGCCTTTTGTATTTGTTTGGACCATCTAATGTGATAATACTGGTGCTTGATTTATCTGTGATTAGGATTTTGGTTAATGCTTGCTATTGTGCACAGCTCACGTTCACAAAAAACCTTGCAGCTTTTGATTGATTCATTAAATGACATGTCACGTCTGTGTACTGTAATAGCTACAAACCTTTTGCGGACTGCTGTCTAATTTACCAAAGAGTTTTACATATTTCCAACAGCATGAGCACTTCTCCAACTCCTCTAAACCTTTGAAGCCCCTGAAAACGTTTCTCTTTTAAATTACCTGTTCTTGACAATCAACAACTCAAGGATCATAACATCTGAGAGAACTGATTTTCAGGGGCTTTAAACAAATAGAAAATAGTATACTGTAAAGCTTGGATGAAATGTCTCTTTGGACAAAGAGTATGACTTTTTTTAAGTATAACCTTTGGTTTTGACCTGCACCAAAGTTTGACTCAATAATAGGGCTGTATCTATCAATCTGGATCAGCATGTCCTTATCCAATGTATTGATGCATTGGGAGAAACATCAATATATTTAAGATACACCACTATTTATGAACTCTTAACAGTTTTAAATGAGACGTGTGGCACTTTATAGTGAACACAGGATTTTCAAGTATAATTTTTTTTAATTTAAATATTAGGAAGAGCCAAATAATGTCAATAATGACTTTTAAATCATATTGTAGTTGCTTGTTGTGAGTTCATATAGATGCAACTTAATTAAGCAAAATTCAATTTGAAAGACTTTGTGATTGTATAATTGTCCAAACATTCAATATAATCTTATCTTGTTAAACTTGTGACTTTTGTTTTTAAAACCGAGCCGTTAAATGTATCCTTCAAATAAAAAATATTGACTTTGTCCTGACTTCCCACTGAACATAAAACCTGCTGTCTTGGATAGTAAGCGTTTTATTTTTAGTTGTACTCCAGCATATGTTCAGAAGGTTCTGGGCTCCAGCTGAGTTATTGGCTGTTGGTAGATCTTGAAAATGAACCGCACAACACATATGGTAAAATAAAACAGCCTGCAACAGGAGACATTTGGCAGGAGGCCCCTTGCATTAAAAGCAAACCCACTCATCTACCCTGGAATAGTTCTGCCATCTTAGCTTATTGCATTTATAGTTTAAAGTTTGTCTGAGGCTCTCATCTGGTTGAATGAAACCTGACTCCAGGGAAAGGGGACATTGTGGACTGGCAACAGATCCTGAGCTTCTTTTAAAATCCTCATTTTTGGGATTTTTAACATTTGTGCTGCAGGCTAAATTACAGTAAACACTTTTGTTCCTTTAAAAAATATAGAAACGAGGAGCCATGCTTCATAACATCGTTACATCTTACCAGTATGAAGGCAGGGCGGCTGTCACTGCAGGCGATATAACAAGTTGCCAAGCTTAAAATTAGACACAGACTGTTTGAAATGTTGGACTACTGTAGCAGAAATAAATAAATCTAGCCTCACCCTCTGTCAACGTTTCTCTTTGCTGTTGATATCATGTTTAAATATCACTAATTATAAAGGAGATTATAATGTGATAATAGACATTTTCCTAATATGATGTTAGGATCTAATTAAAAAAGATCTGTGTGGTAAGTATTTGCTCCAATACTATTTTGACAGTTTGTCTTATAACTAATTCTGCTTGATTCGTCGCCATCACCTTGTCCACGCATGGTCAATCTCTGTTATGTGTGCCTGTACTATCATCTTTGCATGTGTAGAACATCCCTTGACATTACAAAAGTTGACCTCTTGTCAAGCTAATGACATGGAATACAGTGAGAAGATGCCAGCATGGTTATTTTGAAGATTGTAAAGAAAATAAATATAAATAAAGACACTTGAGAAGCTGCTGCAGACAAACGAATTACGGCTAATGTCTCAGTGGTACGTGCCATGTCCCAATGATACTGTGACTGCTCCACCGACCATGTACTCTTGTAATGGCATCTGCAGCTTCTCAAATGTCCCTTCTGAATTTGTTCACACGTCACTGAGTGCAGCAGAGTGCAGGAGACAGAAAGTGTCTTCGTCTGTGTAACTCACAGGGCCTTGTGGTGTCAAATGAGCGCTAATGGTGCCATTTGAACATCCCATAGGATTTGCTCATTTGTTCGAGTGCTGTAACAGGTCTGACAAGTTAATACATACATGTTGTTCAAACACATCATGTTTTGATCAGTGTGAGTGTATTCCCTTTATATTTAAATTAATTGTGTCCTTTTAGATCTACAATACTGCATTGAAGATATTACTAAGATATTATTAGCGTATTACAATTCTGCATGTGCTTGAGACACAACAGAGAGCACTAGAGTGCAAACAGTAGCAACCACAGTCGTGTGTATGTCTTTTTGATGTGAAAATCCTATTTTCTGCCAAAATACAACCCACACCCTTCACGCAGCTTGCTAAATCTCAGGCTACATATCGATATCGATTCCTTCATCTAAAGTTAGCCATCACCCAACAACCTTACAGCTTTGACCTCACATCCAGCTTCCCAGATTTAAAACTGTGAAATTTAAACTGAGAAGCCTGCATGCCTCACTAAAATGATTTCATGCCTCAACACTAAATATCTGTGTCCTCTATGTAACGAAATCCTGTACAAAGAATATCAAAATTATGATCCTGGTAACATACTCGGTAATTTGAGCGACTGGAATGAGAGAGCACATAAAATTGTGTACATTGAGTCGCTTTATGACTCTTTAAGCACAGCACGTTCAAAGAGGAAAATAGCAGCATGTATACATTACACACTTGCATGTAGAATTTAGTTTTTTTACTGCACCTGTCTGTGCACCTGCTCACAAAATGCTGATGTCTTCAGTGACGGCACACTTTGTATTGATCCTGAAGTTATCGCAGGGGATGACTTACAAGAAATAGGCTTACTGTAATCCTTTTCTCCTCTCCTCTCACAACATGTTCTCATACAGCCTGGCTTCGTGTTGAGGGCCACCTACCTGCTCTCAGTCCTCAGTGCTCTCAGCTCTGTTCCCTTTCAGTCTGCTCACACTGTGCCTTCTCCTAATGTTCTCAAAGTAATAGATCCGTCCTGCAGCGTGCAAGTCTGTGCTTGATGCTCCTCTACTGACAAGACCCAGTGACTGCCAAAAGCTTTTTTGTATTTGTGGTCACTCCAAAGACATTGGAGGTTGGGTTTGCAGTGAAGTACAGAGGGGCCAGAGGGTGGGTTGAAGAGCAGGTTAAATACCTTTCAAAGAATGATTTGCTCCTATGAACCAGATGTAGGGACACATAGGAAGAGGACGTTTGTTTACAAGCCTTGATATATTGGAGTTCACTATAGGACTTGATTAGGTCTGCTATTTATTAGTATCCTGCAAATGTGATTGTTTAACGTCTTGACTTTAATTATTTTTATGACAATAAAGACGGTAACACTGATTGCAATCAAACCTGTGTTGTTTATGTTTTACTAAGACACATTTTAAGGGGTTATCATAATGTATTCACATAAAATACAGCCTATAAAACAGTGTGCATAAGTTTGACAATGCACCTGCTTTTTTCACTCCATTCAACACATCTATTTTAAAAACCACACACTGCGGTCATAAGGTGAACAAATATATCATAACATCGACACCCTCAAAACAGGAAGATGTTTTCCCTTTAAGAAACATTTGTTTTTCTGTAGGGATGATCTCTAAATGTCTAAAATATGCTTAGTGGAAGAAACGCCTTATTGACAACAACTGGGGCATGTTAATTACCAGCCTGCCAACTTTAACAAATAAAAGAAAGTCATGTCTAAATGGCCAATATTGATTTGACAAACTAGAGTGGAAACCTGCAAACATGCATAATGATGTTTCTCTGAGGTAGATTCAATAGATGCTCCTTAGGCATGCATTTGAAAAGGAAATAACAGTTTGAATAGAAATTAATCGAACTCC